GGTACTGGGATCGATGCCCAGGTACTCCAGTCGCTTTTCCTTCTCCCAGCACCACCCATTCGCGTTCATTGGTTCCCAGAGCGGCAAGCCTCTTGTGGCTGCGTCTTTTCCCTTTCCATTGCTTTACTCACGCTATTCAGGCGAAATTATCATTTCATATACTCACCCGGCTATAATGTACAAACTGACGGTGCACTCAGGATGGAAGACCGAATTGCAAGATTGCACCCGCTTTTCGATACTACACCGTAGCCCCGCCAGTAGACCTCCTCCTTCCCTTTTGGAAGACTCTATCATTTCGAAACTGACATCCCAGAAACTGGGATCATCGGACCTGTGCTCCCACGGCGCGGAATGTAAGTTAGTAACCATAGCCTACTAATGAGTAGTCTAAAATAAATCAACGACTGTGTGCATATCCGCACGTCCCAAGCGAGCATGCTGGTCCAGACTATGTGTTGTTTCACAGTTCGACATCAATGATTTGACTGACTGAGACTTGGCTGGTAAATTATATGCCTGTGTCGCGAATACTGAAACTGCGTCCTATAGTTTGCTAAGCTTATTCGGAGAGCCCATTGGCAGTCACTAATCCGCACCCCAACTAGGCCCAGGAAATTTTATCGACGCATTTTATCCACGCATGTCGGTACACCGAGCACCTTATCTGCGTCCTGTCGACGTGAAGTGCTCTGATTCCGGCCTTGATAACGATATGAGGATACCTGTACTTTCATCACTGGTAGGCAGGCTCCACTCTTCTAACAGCTTCACTCACTGAGAGAGAATTGGTAATCTGCGCGAGTGATTCTTCACATCTTCAGTATTCGTGTCACGTCAAGGCCATCGTAAGCTGTGGATTCAAGTCTGTTGCCGTCAAACGGCGTATCAGCCTGATTAGTGGACACACTAAGTTCGACTAACAAATGTCACGGCTTTATTTTTGGATTAGTCTGCCTAGTATAGTACAAAATTAGCGCTTAGAAACGAGTGTGCGTTCATTTACAGCAGGCATATAATTCATCAGCCAAGTCTCAGTCAGTCAAATAATTGATATCGAACTGTGAAACAGCACACACTCCAGATCAGCATGCCCGCTTGGGAAAATCACTGTTGCCACACACTTTGGCTTCACATTTTCGTCCGAAATTCCAAATGTGTTTTTCTCTTGTTTAATTCACACTACTTCACACGCCTCCAGTAGTGACCTTCCATCAAAGATATTGG